CTCACTCTGCTACTATTTAAGGATGATTCTCAGTTACGACATTTGTTAGTATAGGCAACTTGTCAAAACTACTATAAAGTCGTTAAACGTATTAACATCCCATGCCAGTGCGTTGTTTAAAATTTATTCCGTGCAGGACTTCGAGGTCTCAAATCGCTTATTGGCCATGGTATAATAAATTATTGGCGGTCAGAGACTATCTTATACTCATTTGTTGCGCTTCCGATCGTATGCGCCATGACAGCGCCTTTTTTGTTACGGTACCTTTGACAGTATGACACCTACCTACCGCGATAGCACTTCTTTCCAAACAGTCGACAAATTGCCTATTCATTCAGATTGGGAACGTTAATTCGTATACATTTTTGTATTATTTAATAATTTGGTTTCATACTTCACAAATCATCCTTAAAAGTGAAATAAATAAATTATAGATAGTGGTGTAAATCGAAAATTTAACGTTAAATAAATGAATGTGATATTCATCTATCATAAAATAGATTCTCATTTAAGTAAATCAATTTATTGACTTGACTCAAGTAAGAAAAAGGTTCGCGGTTATTTCTAGTCGTTAAATATCGGTATCAAAGAGTTTATGTATATTTGTAAATATTGTAAATACTATTTCTGCCTTTGTAAATATAATCAAAGAAGAGTGTTTTGTAACTATTAATTAAATGACATCAAATGGTTAATTCGTTATGCAATCAAATTCATCTGTGAATATTATTTATAAATATAAATGTATTTGAAATTTAGTATTATTATGGGTACTATCATTATTATTTTAATTGTTTCACGTTCGAAACCAACTTGATAACCTCTCACCAGGTATTGTGTCTTATTTAAGAGTAATTATGTTGTTATATGATTAATTAAAGAAGATATTATGACATCAAGGTTAGAATGGTCTATTTCAGGAACTGTTCATCGAACAGTTTATTGCAGTTTTTCAGGCTCTACTGTTTCCATGAAGGAAAACAATGGTTTTAGGAGAGCAATTGCGATTTTTACATCTAGGGTAAGGGATACAGATTTCTAATTAGGTTTCAAAAACCATAGAATCGTGTAGAATACACTTTACCCTTTATCGCCTTATACAGGGTGGTGACTTTACGTAACGCATCAGATTTCAATGTAAAATTCCTAACATGCGATTATGGGCTCCCCAAATTATGTTAGAGCAAAAATGTATTAAGGTTTTTCGTAGAAAAAAATTTTTACACCAATCAACCGTACCTACTTATTAGTTTCCAATTTTTTTCATTTAAAGACGGAAAATTGGAAAAATACAACCCGCATCTGTATAATAAATAACTATTATTCAATGCTAGTATGATATTTGATTCGATATTCAAAGTTAAGGACTTTCGACACCTCGTGTTACCGTTGCCATATATGCGTACACGTAACTTAAATGACAGAATAGAACGAGTGAGAAAGGGATTCCACCGTCCACTCATAGAGGCCGGGTTCAGATAACTTTTAAAATCTTGTAAGTTTCTAATTGTATAAACTCTTACAGGACCCTACACCCTAGCGAAACCGGCGCACATACCTTTATTTTATTGATTTACTTTACTTTAACACGTTTAATGTTTTCAGGTCCAGTGACAAAAGGTGATTGCAGGTACAGATCATTCCTGTAGGTAAGAATACGGGTTTCGAGTCGATTATAGTCGAAGATCAGTCAAGCGGCATATCTGCAAGAACTTTATGCTAACCAATACCGCAACTTTATCATAGTCTATGCTACTATCCACAATATGCAATAGAAAAATAATTATTTTTTGCAAATTGGTTGTACTCCTGCACCAATGTCGTTTATGATAGCCTTCATTATTACATTTGCCACAAACATCAACACTAAGGTTTCTATTAAAACAAGTTTTAGGCATTTCAAGACACAACTTGGTTTTTACTTCTCACACTATGCGTGTTGCAACTACTTACTTATATACAACGAATATACTCATTTCTGTGGGTAGTCCGATGTTTCCCGGGAAAACCGATTTGTAACGCTGCTCAGACAGTAAACCGATAAGGTGATATTCCCAAGACAGATGCTCTTGTTGGTATCACTTAATACCTCTCATTACAGAGAGACCGGAGAGTGTCACCGTACCTCTCAAAGCTACCGTGGAATCGACTATGGCTACCTTTTTTTACAACCTACATTAATTATTGTTAGAGCCGTAGGTGTTTCTAGTTTTTGTATACCTTATAGAGTCTGGACAATTATTCATCTCGATTATTTTGAACCAATCAAATAATGTTACTTTTTTTTAATCGATCAATCAAAAGCTGAATTAAAAAATGAATTTTTGTACAGAAAAGTTGTCATTGTCATTTTTTAATACGTAACAAATATGACAATATTCAATTCAATGCGTAAATTGAAAATTAAACAGCGTTTCAAATTCGGACTAAAAACACAGCTTTTCAATAATTCATTTTGGGTTTATTTTACTCGCAATTAAAAATTGAGGACACACGGGTCTTTTTATTTTTAATGTACTTTGTGGATCAGAAATAAAAAATGAAGGCGGGATGACCCCATTACAATTATAAAATGTACAATTCTTAAAACTAGTTCTTGGGCTGGACTCATTTCCGGGTTTAGAACTATTTCCTGGCAAAGCTAGACTGAACTCATTTTCGGGTGGGGTTCGAATTCGACGTTTTACAATACTTAATGTTAATTTTGGCAGTTGCCCCCCTCTGACGACGTCCTTGTGACCGTGCCCTTGCAGTTGTTTTACTTCTTTGAAACATACGCCCCTCTTCTTCTAAACCAAGACTTGTACCTTGTTTTGTCTTTTTAACTTTTTTTCACTCATGAATTTTTCCCGATTTCTATTGTTGCAAACTGCAGTGAAAGCGCTAATAACCTGACGACGGGTCAAACACACGTTAATACTTCGGGGATTAAAAGGACATTGCAACAATACTCTAGATTCTATGTCCAATAGAAGATTCCAACTGAGAGTAGGAGACGCGCTGATGAAATGGGTTCACGACATTTATTTGAGTATGCCAAAAACCGAAGGAGAATTTGTAAACATGTAGACGATGAATGACAAGTGTTTCTAATTTAAATACCTACCTACAACATCTATTTGGACGTATTAGAGCCCCTTCTAACCAGGCGTTTTTTTTAAGCGGCTGGGTAGCGTCGTTTTTTTAAAATGTGATTTACCTTAGTAGACTGGTTCACTTTTCGAAGATTCTCTGTCCTAGGGGCATTCGAGGGGGCATTTCAGACAACATTTGGCCAAATAGACTTTTCTTACTAATTGGTACCTGCTGAACACGAATATCGATGTTGGCACCTCGAAATCTGAACAGGAAGTCCAGAATTCAAGATGGCGGCCAATTTCCGAAAATGTTGATCTTTTCACTAATGCGACCGACTTTTTCGATCTAAAAACGGATTATAACGTTATTCCTGACGGAGGTACGGCACGATAATAATCGTGACCAAATGTTTAAACAATGATTTCATAGTTTTTCTAACCTGAAAGTGCGTAAAAGTGGAAACCTTTTTTTCTACTGTTTAAATTTTTTCACATCGTGAAAGTATTAAATTATTTCTGTTTTGGCAAGCATTTTAGTTACTGTGCGTCGTGTGATTGCTGGAGGCTTCAATGATTAAAGAAACGTTTTCTGTAACCGTCAGACGACACAGATTTCCTCGTTAGAAACGACCCATTTTTTCGATCTAAAAACAGATTATAATGTTATTCCTGAGGTACTTCACGATAATAATAGTTAACTATTGTTTTAACAATAATGTAATAGGAGGATGCAGGATGCGTAAAATTAAGAATTTCGAAATTCCCAGTTCCCCTTGCTAAAAGGAGGGCTTGCAAAACGATTGTTTCCAGTAATCCTGACACATATATAAGTATTCCCGACATGCGTTTATATTGCAAATTCTCCTTATAAAGTTTGGATAACTACAATCTTTCGAATTTTGCGTTAATTTTTAAATGAAAAAAATGAAGGGAGTCCAACTATTCTGCGGTGTTTCGGATGATTCTTATTTTGCTAGGTATTAATTACCGTTCCTCAGGATATATTATTATTATTAAAGGATGAAAGCCTATAGAAAAGTGAATACAAATTACAATACAAAAAAAGTACATCTTGAGATTTACATTTGATATGCCGTAATGATGGAAATGGATGAAATGGTAGAGAAGATTAGATGGAATCGCAAGAGAATGGAGTTCAGAATTGTTAGATCTAAAGCTTCGCAGCTCCTGAAACCTCGAAGTGATGAAGAAGCAACAGGAATGCATCTGTATCTGTAGCGTTTTTCTAGTATCCGCTTCCTTGATGTGAAAAGCTTCTAAGGAGGAAATCTGTGTCGTCTGACGGTTACAGAAAACTTTTCTTTCATTATTGAAGCCTCTCGCAATCACGCCGTCAAATGAGGCCTCTTCAAGGTGACGCGACAAGATTTTTTTTGTTTTCCTCTAATAAAAGGAAATTCTTCCATATGAGGTCATGCGCGGAAAGTGCCAGTTAAATAGAAATAGGGTAGCAAGTTTACTGGCAGAAAGTACTTTCCGCCAGTAAACTTGCCAAATGTAAATTAAGCTTTAGAAAAACTATGAAATCATTGTTTAAACATTTGTTCACTATTATTATCGTGCCATACCTCCGTCAGGAATAACATTGTAATCCGTTTTTAGATCGAAAAAATCGGTCGCATGAGTGAAAATATCAACATTTTCGGAAATTGGCCGCCATCTCGAATTCTGGACTTCCTGTTCAGATTTCGAGGTGCCAACATCGATATTCGTGTTCAGCAGGTCCAAATTAGTAAAAAACGCTTATTTGGCCAAATGTTATGTGAAATGCCCCTAGAACCTGTTAAAACGCTGTTTTTTATAAAAGTGAACCAGTCTATAACTCATTGGTCCTACGTCAGTTTAGCCACGTGTTTTTGTCATTCAGGTATACGGTGCAATAATCACTGCCATTATTTACATTTTTGAGGTTAATTGTGTGATATTAAATATTAAACTGCAAACAAAATATTGAATACCTACTGCCTACGCTACGGATAAGTTTTGCGTGTACCGTTTGTATAAGGCGTTTTAATAACTTAATAATATTAAAGTGGTTCTCATATTTCACTGACAATGTCTTCGGGTCGGAAGTGTAAGAACTGTGGAAGCCTCGATATCGAGGTAGATCCAGCACGAGGCGATGCAGTGTGCACAAATTGTGGTTCGGTTTTGGAAGATAACATAATTGTCGCTGAAGTGCAATTTGAGGAAAATGCTCATGGCGGTAGTAACGCACTTGGACAGTTTGTGTCGGCAGACTCTAAAGGAGGGCCAACTAATTTTGGTGCATGTAAGTGAATCTGTTTTTGTCGAATTTTTCTATTGGGCTGTTGCAGCATTTCATATTGGAATGGGTATCGAATCACGAGAGGTTACATTAAAGAAGGCACGAAATGGAATAACCAACTTGTGTAACCAGTTACGGTTAAATCAGCACTGTGTAGATACTGCGTGTAATTTTTTTAAAATGGCATTGGCCCGTAATTTGACACGTGGAAGAAAGAACACTCATATGTTTGCAGCATGTGTCTATATGACTTGCAGAACAGAAGGCACACCACGTATCCTTTATGTAAAGCCCATTTATGAAAATACATTGCCCAATTTCTGTTATTCAACTGAATCAACTGCATAGTTTAGTAGAAATTGAATTGTAAATAATTTTGAAGTTTAATGGGAATGCTAAATAAGTAGCCGTTTTTGGATGTGTATACAGGGTCATTCTTGACGAGCGTCAGTTAGAAAGATATGGAAAACCTTTGAAAATTAAGCTAAACTGATAAGTCCTTTAAGGGTTTTGGCACATGATGAATTGAACTAAAATATTTTCAAAATGGCGCCACTTCCGGAAATACCGGAAGTAGCCATCAACTTTGTTATTTTAAATAGGGACCCCCTATTTTTTCTACATTTTCGGATTATACGTCGAATTTGGAGTACAACGATACCCCATAGTTGACCCTTTGCTCCAAGGTCTTCGCCGATATTCAAGTTTTTGTGTCAAAAATTGAATTTGCAGGGGTGATTTTAAAAATTTATTATTAGAAAACGGTGAGAGATATTGCAAAACAGTTTTCAATGCTTTATTAAGGAAAGATCGAATTTTCTTATGGTATGCGTAACAGTCTAAAAAAGTGAGACTACGTCACTTTTTCAAAGCTCTCAACTTTTAAACTTTTAAATTTCCGTAACTCCATTTTTTCAAATGGCACCCCCTATTTTGTTCTTCGCCCTTGTTTTCCTTTTTCCCAGACCTTTAATTTGATGCAAAATGTCAAAAGCTGCTTCAAACGGTTTCCGAGATATTCCATGTTTTAGTTGCTTCTTGTGGAAAATTGATAAAAAAATTAAGTCGCTGGATGTTATTCTTTTGTTTTTATTCGCAATTCGCAAATTACTACAACATTTCACGAATAACAGTATCTTTCAAACAAAAATACAAAAAAAGGAAGCCTGTGGTAGGCTCTGAAGAACAGGAAATAACTGTACTGGTGTATTTTGCCGCAAATCCAACTGCATCGCTTAATGATATCCAAAGAGAAATTGACATATCAGACACGAGTGCACAAAGAATGGCGCCACTTCCGCAAATACCGGAAGTAGCCATCAACTTTGTTATTCTAAATAGGGACCTCCTATTTTTTTTAATTTTTCGGATTCTACGTCGAATTTGGAGTACAACTGTACCGTTATTCCTCAAATTTTGTAGTAATTTGCGAATTGTAGCCTATGTGGGTTGCGCCTTGTCAGGGTATCTTTCGGAAAAAAGACGACAAGTCCTGGCAGCTATTCGATTACAATCATCATCTATTAATATTAAATTCACAAAATCTTCATTAGTGTAACCCAAACGAGCCATTATTGACCAGAAGTATAAGTTCAAACAGCGAAAAATTTGACGTTTAAACATTATCATAATAAAAACAAAAGAATAACATCAAGCGACTTAATTTTTTTATGAATTTTCCACAAGAAGCAACTAAAACATGGAATATCTCGGAAACCGTTTGAAGCAGCTTTTGACATTTTGCATCAAATTAAAGGTCTGGGAAAAAAGAAAACAAGGGTGAAGAACAAAATGGGGGGTGCCATTTGAAAAAATGGAGTTACGGATATTTAAAAGTTTAAAAGTTGAGAGCTTTGAAAAAGTGACGTAGTCTCACTTTTTTAGACTGTTACGCATACCATAAGAAAATTCGATCTTTCCTTAATAAAGCATTAAAAACTGTTTTGCAATATCTCTCACCGTTTTCGAATAATAAATTTTTAAAATTACCCCTGCAAATTCAATTTTTGACACAAAAACTTGAATATCGGCGAAGCCCTTGGAGCAAAGGGTCAACTATGGGTATCGTTGTACTCCAAATTCGACGTAGAATCCGAAAATGTAGAAAAAATAGGGGGTCCCTATTTAAAATAACAAAGTTGATCGCTACTTCCGGTATTTCCGGAAGTGACGCCATTTTGAAAATATTTTAGCTCAATTCATCATGTGCCAAAACCCTTAAAGAACTTATCAGTTTATCTTCATTTTCAAAGGTTTTCCATATCTTTCTAACTGACGCTCGTCAAGAATGACCCTGTATAGGTAAAAGTAGGCAATACATTATTGCGTGCATGTAGGCAACACACAATGCACCCGTGATTGAAATACCGAAACGAATTTATTTATTTTGCCTTTATTTGTGAGTGGGCGGGTGGGAGTGCATTTCAAAAATGATATTAAATGTGAAATTATATGATGAGGGTAATATTTTGAAATTAGGGAAATATTGCACGTTAGCATGAATAGGGGTGTTTGGATTTTTAATGGTAATGAAACACCTCATTATACTTATGGGCTCCTATATATCCATAGGCATATATAACTTATGTCATTATGGGCTTATTGAAACACTGCTCAGTATTATAATGGTAATGGTGTTTATAGCATGAAGTAGATCAGCTGTAGGAAGGGATATTTGTATATAATTGCTAGTATTTTGATGGTTTTTTTAGCCAATTCTGTAAACCCTTTGTTAAAGTTTACGCATTTACTATTAGGAACATTTTTGACGCGTTTAAATCTTCTAACGAACTACCTCGGCAAGAACTTACATTTTTTCAAATACACGTATTTTCATAATTCTATAAAAAAGTACTTGTGAAGTCAATAATGTAAAATAGGCCTTGGATTTTTAATGTGCACCCTACTTGATTTTGGGAGTGTGGCTTATCTCTCGGTAACAAAAAAGATTCGTTTTTTACACAAATAAGTATAATTTTAAGTGGCAAAATAGACATATCTTTCTGTTTTTGTGAAGAAATGAGCCTAATAATGCGCCATTGAACGTTTGACCTATTTCTATTTCCAAAATTCCAATTTTTTTGAATTTGATGACCCTAGGGATGGATCTTGCATGTCAGATTTATTAATATTAAAATTTATCAACAACTTCACTGTAAGAAATAGGCTACTTATAATACCCTAAGACCTAAGTAATAAAATGTTGCATAAACCCACCTTCATTATTTATTTATAAGTTTATTAGTATTTCTGTATCATTCAAGTTTTTCTTAACTCATGTATTAGACATGTTAATCGACATCAGCGATGTACTACAAATTTGTTGTTATGAATTGGGAAGGACATACCTACGAATATCACAGGCATTGTGCATTAACATTCCCTCATTAGGTAAGTGGTTTTATCATATTTTTCTCATATTACTATGAAACCTATCCATGAGTGTGCATTGGTCAACCACAACCGTCCTGATCAACATGCATTTGAAATTGTCCAATATCAAAAATTGTGTGAAAGGTTTGAGAAGGGGGCCCTGGGTAAATATCCAATGTGTACTGTCTTCCAAGCATGCAATACAATGCGATTGTCAAAAAAATTAGTAGGGAAACAGTACAATGTATGAAAAAGTGTAAGAGCAACATTGTGTAGAGTTAAAACGTGATTTTCACTGGGTCCTACCATCAAGGTCGGGCAAATGTTAAAAATTGCTGCGCCGCCTCGCCTCGTTAAGAGTTGCTTAGGTTTCAACACCTATCTTCTGGCAAAATAGTTCAACTTGCGTCAACACTTTGAATTGCTCAACACCCTTCATCACAACTTCATTTAATAAGTACGGAATGTTTTCCCTTGCCCCATAAGAAAAACGAAAACCGAGCAAATGTAGCACTTGTAATCACATCGCCAACAATAATAAAAAACGCTATGCTGCTTTTAATATCAAGTCAAGTATATCACAAGATTAATATAAGTATTATACAGTTTTTTGTCGATAGATGAACAATTACATAAAGACAACTAATGTATTGCAAATTTTAGTTTTGGTAAAATGGAAAGTTTTAAAATAGAGTTTGTAAGCCATTAAAAATCTTTGTCTTTCGTCTTGTTCACCCTGTATCGTTTTGGACATCCAAAATATTTAAATGATGACATTTTTACATTAATGAATTATTAAAGTAATAATCTTACAAACTATCTTATTTACAAATAGAGTACATATCACTTGTATGCAACTTTAAAAATGCTTACAGCTTTTAAAATTGGAGCAATGTATATGTATATAAGACATTTCGAAAAATATCTTTCATGCAGCTATTTTTATGAAGGAAGATTCTAAAATTTTACTCTTTGCTTATAGTGTCATACAATTTCTATAACTTTTGAACACAATATTTCATATTTATAATCTAATATCTTCTTCACAAGCGATAATCTGGAATTGTATAATGCGTAACGAACAAAATAAACAAGTCGTACCCAAACCAAAAAATAAAGGGCAAATGATGTCAGATCATTTGTTCACAGCACTTTACGAAAAATAATCCCCCACATAAATATTTAACAACCAAACGTACACATTGAAACAAAAACCCTCAATGCTCATCTGGTGAAGGTCCATAGAAAATAAGCTCTGGAATTTGTCCACCTTGGACACCTGTACCGTTAGTACTCTCAGAGGAGCATTGAAATTGAAACGTAACAGTCCCGACGGAAACTTCACTCATACCCTCCTGACCGAAGTAACTCAGCTCGCCGCCATCTAAAACTGCAGATGCTGTATAAAAAGATTCTGGCTCAATTTGTATTGGATTATCAAAGTACACATGAAACGTATTGCTAGATCCGTCAGAAAAGAATTTTGTGCTATTGTCCGCTAAAACGCGACCTAATCTTTTAAGCTCAATTTTAACATTATAATCTGCAGCGCCGTTTGACGAACCGTAAAGTCCAAAACCGACAACAAATATTCTTTTGTCGACAGAAAACTGAATACTGTCACAACGTCCTCGATATCTCCACTGATTTGAACGATAGGCACATGATTGAAAACGATGACATACCTAAAAAAAGAACAATTTTGGCGTTATGTTTTTTGAATACGCAACGGGCTCACCTGAGATTTCAACCCTGTTCGTGATTTAGTAGGATACACAAGGCTTGGCTTGTTGTTAGCTGTGAAATGGAAAAAAATATCAATAGTTTCTTGCTGCGTTAAAATTCCCATTTGAGCAGCACCATTTGCAAACTCCTCCAATGTCATTGTCGGAATACGGACTAGATATAGGGCATTTCCTAATACGTAACGCTTATTCGACGGGGTCGGATCTAAATCTCGTCTTAAACATTCAGCCGTTGCCCAATTGAGCGCTGCTTCTAGTAACACCATTTCTTTACAATTTAGAGTTTCTCTTCCTAATACGGATTCTAATGTCGACATATCTATATCTACAAATCCTTCTGATTTTAATGCCATTTCTGCCTACAATAATAAACAAAACTTTAGATTTGTGTATGTAAACGGTAGACCAAAACCCGACCAAGCAAAGTTTTCGAGTTGGTGGCCATTAGACTTTAATGGTAAAAGTTTAAATTAAAAAAAACAAAACGCATCCATCGAACAGCTGTTAGTATTACATCAGCGGTTGAATGCCCAATATTCTATATTGTAGTAACTGGACTGTTAGGGAGGTATGAAATGAAATTCGACATGTTAATAATCCATATATTGACAACACATGAAACACTACATTAATTATTACAATTACCAACATCAATGCTGTAAATATTTGGATTAAAAGAAAGGAATGTATGCGACTTACGGTAATTGGCAAACTCAAGTACAACTTATTTGCCGATCACCTGTTATAATAAAAGCTATTTAATATTATAGAGTAAAGAATAAGATAGTGAGAGAACCTCCTTGTACTTTTTGCGAAAGAAACACTATAGGAATTAGCCCACTAAAGCAATGGCCACATAACATCGCGTTAGTATAAGATTACACTTTATATAACTATTTTCTTTTGACAGTTCTCTTCCAGTTTAAGTTCTTTTAATGCAGTCTTTCGTTCATATGACGCGAAAACGTTTAGTAAGATTTTTTTATTGTATAAACGGGTTTTGCTAGAATGTAGGTGAAACCGAATCACTGGATAAGCAAATATTATGGCAATAAAATATCACGTGGAAAGTAAGAGGCCGAACTGTTGGTTTGCTATGCGTAAGAAAGCAGGAACGTTAATCAATATTCAGTCTTATCAATACAGTAAGAGATATGAGATTCTCTGAACTTTGGAAAATGTCATTTGTGAATTTACAGTCAAAAATGTGATTTTTTAAAAATTTTTAGATATACAGGGTGTAACAGTGGTAAAAGGGATGAAAACAATCATTTTGGAGTTATGTATGTTAGTTAGTTATAAAACTTAAACAAAATTGACATGTAGGGGCGGAGCGGAAGGCAAGAGTGGGGGATGCTCCTAAGTATACTTCAAATTATCAAAAGCGCCACCTTTATTCTTGTAGTATAAGGTGGCAATTAATAAAAAATCAGCTACAGCCTCTGCGTGGTTGTCTCACTATCTCATTATTTACACTATGTCAATACTTAAGATATGTATATAAAATATTGAGCATTTTTAGGTAATCACACAAACTAGACACATCGACAATAACATTAAATAGGTACAAAGTTTCCATAAATCATTAAAAAGTGGCAGTCGTTAGCTTGATGGGTGTGTTAAAATACATTCAAAACAAGGAAGGAACACTAGATTGAATTCTGGCCGTACTAAAACTCAGATGCCTTTTCTGGGGTTTATTGCAGTGGTCATTTGTTAGGTCGAGGCATGACAATGAATGTGGGAGGCTTACCTGGGCGTCGATTACTTCCCAGCATCGTTGCATTAAATCGGGCTCTTCGAATAATCGCGACTGGCTTAATAACAAACAGGCATTTTTGGCGGTAAGACTAGTTTCTAAATAATTTACGCAAGCTCTAGCTAGATGCGGGACTATGTACTTTTTCGCTACGTATAACGTCGCTAATACTGTGTCCGCCTCTAGTTGAATTTCATCACAATATAGGTACCTAAAAAGAGGGGTGGTAAATTCCCACGTGCGAATCGTAATAAGTGACTTACTTTAGTAGTGTAAGGAAAGCGGAAGGTTCGACGTCAGGAACTTCGATTTCTTCTTTGCATTCGGCTAAACCCCCGTGGAACATCGCGTAGAATACCGAACTGCTCGTCGCAAGCACGTACTTATGTGCCGGTATCACTTGCGTCGCACCCGAGCTTCCGACTATGAACTTAACATCTGCCATAAGTTCATTGTTGAACATGGCTGCGTTTCGTTCCCTAACCGTCGTTTTCGTTGCTTGCCAGTTGGGATCTTCTGTTCCAGTTGGTCCCAAAGGTGAGGCGCAAGGACTGGAGGGAGGAGAGCCCGGGGCGCTTGCAGGTTGCATTATCTGCACGCTTTCGCGTTGGGATATAACGTGCGGAGGAGATAAACTAAGAGCGCCATTATTTAGTGTTTCTGCTGTAAACAAAATTAAACGGTATGAAACGAGACTGTTAACTTCAATTAATTAACGGAGTGTATGTCAAGTAGTTTCAAGGATAACATAATGAAATCTATTTTATGTTAAAGAATCAAGAGACCTTCACATCATTTGCTTATCCCTGTTATTCCAGGTTGGGTGGATAAGGATAATATGGTAAAAGTGATAAGATACAGTTTTTTTGCGTAAGGATGTTTTGTGGTAAACAAAGTATTGCCCTCCCCACCTCCAATGGACTATCTAATTTTAAACCAATCATAATTGATTAATTACGAATTTATTTGTTTTCAAATTGCACAAAGATAGTATTTCATAGTTCCCGCCTAAAGTGATTCTGCGCAGAAATTTACTGCAACGCCCGAAAGCGAAGCAAGCAAAATAAAAACAATTGACCTACCGTTCATCCATGCATTCGTTTGCGACACCGAAATCGTATCCTGTATTCGTTTCATCGGTTTAGGTGCAATTTTAGAATATAAATTCGACATAGCCATAATTTCTAATTTTTTTTACGTCGATCGCCAAATAACGGAACGGTAAATTACACGCACGCCATTAGGATTGTTTCCCCTCTCGCACTACTAGCACGGCGCGTTTGTAGAAAAGCGGTCGATCAACGGTGCAAGGCAAGGAAAGGAAGAGTTTATAAAGCGCATAATCACAAGATTCTGTTATATTTTGTCATGTCATCATCGATTTTTTGGGGTTTCCGTTAAAGGAAATTTTGTAATTTGTTCCACAAAACTAAATTGAAGTCAAATTGAGACCATTGTTATTGGTTTCAACCATTTATTTATCGATAACTAATCTAAATGCCAATCTAATTTTATCTTGTGTTTCGGGTCACTCCTAAATTGCATCCTTGCAAAACGAAAGAGCTGCATTTTAATGAACGCACGTGTAAAGTTTGTTGCCTATGCAGGTGCAATGCATGCACATGTTCATATGACTTGCATCGCGCTAGTGAGTCAATTCGCCACATAGGGCCTTTATTTCAAAACGATCGATTGCAATTTTGTTAAAAATAAAAAATTCCAAAAACATATTCATTTAGGGGGAAATGAAGAAAAAATAACTGAGGTGAAGTACAAAATCTGCTGAATTACATATCTAAAAATGGACTTCCGACAAACATCGCGAATGTTGTAAATTTTATTTAGAACGATAACGATTGATTACGCCAAAGCGTCAGCTGATTTGCGTTGATCGAAAGACAACTGAACGCTCATTGGTTCATTTAAATGTATTCCGAAGCGCGACCTGCGACCTCAAATCGAAGCGGGGTATGAATTATGATGCATCAAGCTGACGCTTAATGGCGTATTCAGCGTTGGAAAGTGTCCACAACATAAAAAATAGCGACTGTAATACGTAGGTTCCCACATCAAATTTAAAGACAATTACTTTCTCCACAAAATGGTATTTTTTTCCCTGAATGGTTCAAGTCGAGATTAAAGTGCAACTGTCAGAGTAGCGTATGTCTCAATCTTTTTAGCTCATTTTGTGGGAAAAAAAAATACGCGATTATATTCGTTATGGCTGGCTGGCTGGCTGTCCGACTGAGATCTCAGCAATTACAATAGCTAGAGACCAAATTTTCACTAAAAGCTTTCTGATGTAGTGTAGATGTGCAGGCTTTAGTCTATTTTGAGTTAGATTACTCGTGAGATCGATAATTTTAAACTTTGCTAATGAAATACTGATCTGCATTACCAAAAATGCGCTTTCATCATGTATATGCTGATTTACAACTTGTTTAATAAATTAACAATATTGGCCGTCATTTTCATTTTTTGATATGTTAATCAGCAGAATTCCTACTTTAACTTTCTATGGCCATGGAAAAATGGGATAGATGGACTGGAGTCTGGACTGTTAGTTTTGTAATAAAATTAAGGTCAAATCTTCCATTAAACTTCCCCCTAAAACTGGTAGTATTCATTTCCACACCCTCATCCACACCCACAATACCCACAAATTCGAAGGGTCAGGTTATAAATTAATTTTAAAAAACCTGTACAAGTACAAGATAAATTAATTTTAACTGTTTTAATTTTATAATTTTGAGTGATTTTTAGATTTGCTTGTTCGACCTGATCATATTGTTGTTTTGTAAGTTATAATTGTGGATATCTATCTGCATTTGTTTTTAATTATAATTAAGTTTACCAGTTTACATACAAGTAGGTATTGCTACGTGCCCCACGTTGGACGCCAAATAAAAATGCTATTAAAGGCATTAGGAACACGCAAAAATTCGGTACAATTCTAATTTAAATTCGTGTTAGGGGAAGTTGGTCGTAGAGCAACATTTTCTTTTACTACCCAGACGTTTATACAGGCAAAGGAAATTTGTACTGATTGAATTTAGTGGAGTTATAGGCGCAGAAGAGTTTGTTAAAATCCGTAGAAAAAAATTGAAAGGTCATTTCAACTGAATTATGGTTTTCTTACGGCATTAATTTCAGCTGTAAGTGTAACGATAGAAAGTTACTTTAATAAACAAGAAACAAGAGATGTCTACAATGAGGATGAAGACCGAAGAACAATGGATCGCTGCGATCTTGAAGGAAATAAGAGGAATGAATGTATCAATGTCGGAAATGAAGGCGATAAAAACGTTGAAGAGATCGATAAACAAATAGCTGAAATCATAGAACACATACGAAGCCTATATCCAGACGACGTCCGACAAGTTTAGTCGGAAGGCGTTGATCGAGACTTTTTAGTTAAAGCTCTTTTGGTCGTGGACGTTTGAAACGTAGCCGTTTGTTTTGGTGTATTGCCGTATTTGAGTGTATTTAAAAAGAAGAAAAGAAAGCGGAAGCCTGTTTAGAAGTTTAGTCCGAGTGCTTTAGTTGTCGATGAAGAGAAACCTGTCTTTAAGGTCTTCAAGCTATCAGTTAAAAGGAGTTCTTCTGCCATCAAAGGGCCAATACTATCTTTGTACTTACAACCAAATCAGTGAGGTTCCGAAGCATCATTCAATTTGGTGTTTGTGTTATATTTAGTACGCCTGTTTATTGTTGTTACCGGTAAGGATTATTTAACTAGGTAATTAAACCTTTATTTAAATTTAGTTTGTTTAATCCATCGCTTGTTGCGTGGTATTTGCTTTTCTAACCCTGAGTGCCTATTTTTCTTTCAGCTTATTTGATTGATTTATGTGGAATAAATTTGTTTCATTTGTAAATGGTTCGTTGTGTTGTTAATCGAGTCCAAGTGACGACCTAGATAAGAGTGTTACTGTTAATTTTTTTCGTACCGAAATTACATCAGGTATTAATTAAAAATTTCCTAATTCATTCTTTGGGCTATAACAAGCGATTAAGATGCTGAATTTTTCAAATTAATAACTTACGTCAATATCGAAATTTTCATTTTGGCGGAGGCTGGTCGTGCCCTAGAAAAATTATATTTATTTCTTTTAAAGGTTTTATCAGAACCTGAGTTCAAATTGAGCTTTAGTGATCATTTGCCATTTAAATAGATTTTTACTCAAAACTAAAATAGTTTTACGCAATTATCTACACGGAAATAACGCTTTAAGTGGATACGCACTGGGATCCTGACTGGGATGAATACCTACGCATCTTAGTTATAGACCTCTCAACCGTTGTATTCTTTCCGTACAATTTTTCGGTAATTAACCTTCATAGAAACCTTGTCCTGATAATAAGCATAACAAATTATCTAATTTGGTGCAGTCGTTTTGAAGTTATGTGCGTACATACATTTCGGCGATTCAGTTTTATTTATATAGATCTTCTATTAAGTACCTACATATTAAGGAAATCTTTAATTTTTTATAAATCGGCGCGTTGCAGATGATTTTTACAACTTTTTAAGTGGAATTTTGGTCATCACAGAAAGGTGCAAAAATTGACTCATTTAACCTAATCTCTACCTTCAATAATAACAAAGTTACCCATGCAATCTCGCCGGATCTGGAACAAAGGTGCTCATTGAATATTAGAGCGCAATTTTTCAGATATTTGAAACTTTCCTTTTCCTATACCGATACCTATTTAAACATGGCGACCATGTGAAATAATGATAACGGCCATTTTGAATCCTTAGAGATGAATCGTCTGATACTTAGGGTGAAATTGATTCTGTGGTGGTTTCATACTCGCTTGCTTTCATAATAAAATGCGGTATGCGCGAAACAATTTCGGCCAGTCGCAGCCATAAACATTGGTTTTGTTGAGTTGATGTTATTACTCGTGTTATTATTATTGTTGACTGTTCCACGTCACGATAAACAAGTTAGCGCCATATAATGAAATAATGTAAAGGAAGGTCGTGTTTCATGTAAATAGTGCTATAAGAATGGAATCTCCTCCTGCATTTTCAAATTATTGCCACATCAATAAATGAACTGACGTAGCTATAAACAAAAGTTATCGACTTGAGACCCCCAAAACAATTCCGCCTTTAAACTTTTCCGCCCAGTCGATACCAATTAGATTTCCCATTCATCAATTTTACGACTACATCAATTTGGAAATTCGATGGAAAACAATTTAGAAATTATCAAGTAAGACGTAATTTAAACGCACCCATTAACCTCTATTGTATTGTAATAAAACAATAACAATTCAGAATAATATTATAAATATGTTTAAAATTTTTAATTAATTACGATAATTTAACCGGTAAATTTGATTGCACTGATAAAAAGGCAATAAAAGTCAGAGACGTATGAAATAGTACATGGAAAGGGTGACCATTGCTCAATTAATTATATGGCAAACAATAAAGTTAGGAAATGTAGGTATGGTAATTCAAAACAAATTGTTACTTTTAATGAGTCGCTCAGTATGTAGACCGTTGCATTTTGCATTTACAAAAGTGCAATTTATTCAGTTAGTATTAATGATCAATTTTAAATTACACTTGTGCAACAAGTTTACACTCTCACACTGCATGCCTAAACCTGGGATCGTGCTCTTTTTCATTTTTCACGTTGCTATGTTGCTGTGTAAATAAATTCTTTCTTGCTAGTGAACATCTCTTGGTATTTTGTGGTATGAAGGCTATTGAAAAAGAAAAACGTTGCCAGTCATGCATTGGTTGCAGTTGCCATTTTGCATTATATGCAAATTATTTTATTTTAATCGTTTTCCGATGGATTATTAAAACTTGCCTTGAATTACTACGTAAATGCATTATTAGATCTACGCAACTTGCATATTTTGTGGTCTATAGAGGTATTATTAACTCACTTTGTAATTACGATTTATTGTTTAACCTACCAAATCTTTCTAGTGGATTGCTAGGATTGTCGCAATCATTAACATCCACATTTTCCTCATCCAAGGTAAAGAGGTTATCCAGAACGGAAACGCTACTAGTTGCTCCCTGATTTTTTCCGACGTAATGCGCGCAGCGATACAGTAAATACCAGACGTCGGTTTGGCTCAGAACCCAGGCTAGAAGATGCCTGCCTTTGCTAAGGCTTGCATACTCTGCGCCTAACATAGCATTTGAAATCTTCGCAAGGTCCCCGGTGATGTGAAGTCCTCTTCAGTAGTTCTGAAAGCAAAAACGAAATTGATAGTGTAATAAAATGTTAATGGACTTTCGTTTTGAGAAATACCGCTTTTATTGCATGCAATAATAATAATTCATTCGCGTAATCAGACTCATAGCATAGGTAACGTTTAGTAATGTGTGATACAGTGATTCCCCTGCCATTATTTATCCATTGACAGTATAGAATCTCTCACAGCAGAAAGTCACTAGTTCCTATTTGACAATAGCAATGTCGGTGTCGTAACTAAGGTTCCCCAGGTTGAAAATTAAATGTTTCACATTCATTTCTCAACAAAACATCCATGGGTAACTAGATCTTGCATCTAGAATCAACAATATTTTTTATTTGATGTTCCTTTATATTGTCCTCTCTGGCCATTAGCTGGTCCACTACAGATTTACTGCATTTTACCAGCACCAACATTGTCGTCTATCTGATGCTGGCGTTATGCGCATAATATGCGCGCACAGGGCCAGCTATGCGCACAGGACCAGTAGACTGCACCCTTAAATTAACCATATCCAATGATCATTTCCAATAAAATGCTTAAACAAAATATTTTTCCCCAAGCTGCGCAATTAACTGTTTCATAGATATGGCCTGTGACCCTTATTAATAGGACACCCTGTACAAAACATCCACCAAACAATTTAACATTGGAAATGCTTATGGTGTCGTATATGGGTACATAGTTATGAGTTTCGTTCAAGGCCAAAAAGGCAACGGTGTTGCAGTGACGATTGTACCGTACTCGACCGTAATCGGCAGGTGAAGGAATAGTCGCGGATAATGTCGAATGTCGATACGATACTTAGTTATTGCTCAATTGTTTTGTTAATTACGAGCATGTTTTTTAATACTATGCAGTCCATATAGAGAGGCATAACGCATGCACACTGCGGTGTAATGTAGTGTTAGATCCATCTGTTGTTTGTACCTACTTGTCCTTCCCATATTTGGAACAAATGCACAAAAGCAAACACTTTACTGTTTGTCAAAATTTAGATAAAATGTTGCCAATAATATTTCTTGTGGATCCGTAACTGTTTTGGTTATAATTTTGTATTCAATTTACACTTCATGAACAATTATGTGGATGTACGAAGCACCGATTTTGACCGCTGGGTTGTTCTAAGGATTGGTTTAGAAGCATTTCTATTTTTTTTATAGGAGGTGCGAATTTGATTTCCATCAATCACTCACCATTTGTTCACTACTCCACTTTCACATAGTTCCAACCCCAGACGTGTAATAATTCGTACATTTTACACTCGTTGTATTGTAACACTTTACCATGATATCTATTGTTATACTCGACTGATTAAATAAATGATAATATACCTAGAAGTCTCTTGCACAATAATTGATAAAGTAATAAATTATTGTTATTAAAGCACCTACGTCGAATTTCACACTCGGTAGCTCACTATACAGAGAAATTCGGCGAAGGAATACAACAATGGGTCACTTACTCCAGTCTCAGGAGTGGTTCAACCCTAGATCGCGTCAAATATATTTTTTCGGGAGTAAATACATAAGAGGTTGATTTTTAATCGGATAATTTTATTTTTACACGAAAGTTTTGTTGCAACGGAAAAAACTAGAGATCAAAAATGGGATAAAGTCGCGACAGCTTTAGCTGGAGCGATTTTATCATGTGCTTTTGATCGAGAGTTTTCCAAGAATCGAGTGTATTTTAAGAAGATTAATAAAAGACAGTAAATTTTACAACCACTATATATTTTACGTATTCCTACGCGCAGTTTTATCGCTGATAAAAAGCTACCTAGCGTTTATTCAGATAAAAAATCATCTAATTGGTTAGAATTTGAAACAATCACTAAGCTGATTGGTCGTATAGTAATCGTTTTAAATTCCCTACCCCTCTGCTTCGTCCACTGTCATGAAAAAATGCACTTCTTCATCTTCAGTTTGCCACTCTCTAAAATTTCACTTTTGTCCATTCTGATAGCCTAAACACCATACACAATTGAATTTTTGGCCTTTTATCCTACACCTAAGTGCCACTTTTCCTTCCCTATAGAGAGTGATTTACTCATAGTTTCATCTGTGAAGTTTTAAATAATTATTCCTGCGCAGTGGTTTTGTACAAGAATGTTAAATAGTTATACTGAAATTTATTATATTATTATATGTACTTTAACAATCGTAACATTACAAGATAGGTATCGAGGTATGTATGTGTCTACAATTCAACCATTTTTTAAATTTAAATTTGGACTAATATTGCAATAATTGTTGTAAACTGATTATCGGAATACAAGAAAATACCCATCAACCAAATTTATGTGATAGATATTCTCGCACGATTAGGGCATTGTACACGGGTGTATTGTATTCGTAACGTAACACTGAATACAGTGTGCTTTATTTACGGGTCATATATAAAAAAGTTGATGAGTATTTTTCCGAAACAAAACGTTATATCCACATCGCTCAACGGTGTCTTGTCGCGCTTAAAAAGTGGCAATGAGAAAGTGTTTTTTTTTATTTTTTGTATTTGTTCAAGTACATCCTTATATTTTTGATTGAGAGCAGAAACATTTTTTTCGTAGGAAAATGGTTTGTTTTTTGGATCACTACTACAAAAATATGGCATATAAAATATACGAATTGCACTGTAGGTATATACATAGTTAATAACGATACAAGTTCGATATGAACATCATAATGAAACGCGTGTAACGTCAAAACCACGAGGAGTAGCGTGAAGAAAAAACCTTTGAAATCTGTGGTACAGCGTGGAACAAAATAAACATAATCAACTTAAGATAATAATTCTTACATGTTATCATCGATCACTATACCGAAATTTTAACATCTTTTGTAGCAAGTTGCGTTGCAGGTTGTACTAGATTATGTATATTTTTACACAACTATTCACTTCATTTTGCTAGGGGATATTAATGTCGATCCCACTAGAGAATACGGTATTTTTAGTAAAATAAGTCAGCTACTGATCTCTTACAATATGATAAGAACCATAAACGCGTCTACTAGGAAAAGTAAGCTTTTAGATAGTTAGTTTTGGTAAATTTAAATTTAATGTTTTTGAAAACTTTATTTTTTATATTTAATTTTTTAATTTTATATTTAAGAATTAATGCACTACCACAACATGACAAATATACGGGGTGTCAATTTTAAAACTTGCAGTCGGCCATATTTTCCAAACTAAAGAAGATATTGAAAATCGCGCAAAACCGTTTCGGGGGTATCGAGGAGGAACCAGAATGACGTTATGAGTGACACCCCCCCCCCTTAACCCCCGAGCCCCCTCGTCAAAAATCCTAAATGGTAACCCCATACTTATGACACATCGTTGGAAATCTACTGAAAAATGCTTCCCATTGGTACCAATAAAGTCAATATTCATTAAGACAATTTAACAAAAATTTAATAATTAACAAAAAAAAATATTGACTGATGGATTTATGGCAAATTGGCCAAGAACTCCAACCTGAGCTGCTTCATTAAGCAATCTTGGTTGCTTTCTATTTTTATTGATAACAGATCCCGTTTCTTCGAATTTAGCGACCAAATCTTGAACATAGGCATGGCTTACATGGCTCCCTGGATGTCTCTCATTAAACGTTCTAGCTGTTCTGAAAGATGATCGATTTTCGGAGCCGTAAATGAATATTATTTCCACACGTTCAGCTGTACTGTAAGTCAATAAAAAAGAAAGCAACCAAGATTGCTTAATGAAGCAGCTCAGGTTGAAGTTCTTGACCAATCTACCGTTGACTGCGATACGCCAAAAGCCTCGTTTAACGCCCGATCCGCTAGTGTGTCTTCGAGTAAATTAAACACTTGTGTTCAGTACGATGAAAAAACATCTGCGATAACACGGGCTTATCTTAAAACTAATTAGCCTATGCTGTGATAACGCTCTTATTGCAATGACCGGAGCTAACATGAGACAACCCTACAAAACATTACATTCCAATCTATCTGAATTAGATAAACATATTAGCAGGCGATTATTTACACATCATTAAATAAATAATTCTACTTAAAATCAACAAAGACTTTCAATTCAAATAACATGATCGAAATTGTGTTCATTCCGAATTAGCGACCAACGTTTAACGTAAAAGTAAAAATGAAAATAACCGTTGTCCGTCATCCAACGTGGCTGTAGTTGCTGATACCAAATAACCGCATAATATATTGCTGTGTGTAATGGCAAACGGTCACTAAGCCACCCACAAAAACATTTCCAGCTAACTTAATTAAATAAGCTTGATTATAAATTATCGACACGCCCGCCTTTGCTACAATGAAACAAAAATCTCGATACATGACTTGATTTTATTAATCTAGGAATCTCAGCACCTTTGATCAGTTTCACCAGCTCCAAGGAATTATTTAAACAAATTTTGAATAACACCTAGCATAAGTCTGGGGACGAATATCCAATTTAACATGAAAACTCCAATCCTCCGAATTTAGGTTTCGATTAAACACAAAATTGTTGATTGATAAATAAAATAACATTTATTCGGGCTAAATTCAATACGAAGCCAGTGGCACCAAACAAAATAACGAATACAACACTTTCATGATATATCTAGTTATTCATGCATTTCTTATCAAAAACAGCGGAAATTTACTACAATTCTTTCCCCATTTACATTTTCTCTATCTGTGGTAGTTTTCGAGATCTACATACTAAATATCGGAAAAAAACTCACTCTGTATATGAAAATAAAGTGGTATTCCGTGGCATACTTTCTGCATCCCTATGCACTACAGAAGCCATAAAAGTGATGCATGGGTTATCTAAATGCACATTTTTACGCATGTTAATTGCATACTATAAACCGTACAAAACAATGACAAATGTTTTAAGTCAGCGTCTAAAATGCTCGTTTGGAAATTAGATTACAAAAATTCGTTCTCCAAAATGTGATCTGGACGGAATTGGATACATGGGGATCTTTGAACATGAAAATTTGAATTTGAACTCTAGAAGGACGACCAAAAATCGTAAAGTTTTAAATATTGCGAACACATTCCATAAAAAAACTGAAATAAAAACTTTTTTGCAGCCTTGCGTAGGGTGAGCCGTCTTAATGAAGAATTTTGCACAGCTGCAAGTATTTAGAGTTCGGTGGGGAGTTCCTAAATGAAATATTTTCTGCGCGGGCTTTATTTGGAAAAAAAATGTTACGGTTCCTTCAACCATTCATTTTTATCTCTGAACGCGTTGTACTTGTTCTACATAGATATATCACACCCTCCGCACAAATTGCTATTATGGCACTGCTACAAATAAAATTCTTGCCATAATTCAGTTGTGAACTTTCATATACCGTTGGGGAGCTATCGTTCTAAACTAGATAATAATAATAAAATAGATAATAATAGGCGTCGCCCATTACATTGGGGCGCAAAACAAAGGTGCCACAAAAATCAGTACAACACAAGCATAATTCAGATGCGAATTTTAGCTAGAAACTTTCGTTCTTAGCACTAAAAGGTTCGGACCCAAATGGCCACTGAACTTGATTGGGAAATTCGATATCTCTATCCATATTGACACACAAAAAGTGGGGGTTGGCGCTCAAATTAATCGATCCAGAGCTTTTCGATTCTGTAATGTTAGGGGGAACAAGTTAATGAACGGATTGTCCCCTATTAAAATTGTATCCATTTTTTGAAAGAATGGAGGAAAGTTGGAGATGGACGCACATAATAATATACATCCTGAGTATGAAAAGGGGTAATAATCCTTTACAGAAATTTCGAATTTCTTCAAAACTGAAGACCCAAAAATTACGTAGGTAGGTATATAATTATGTATGAACGCACAAATTTGACCAGGTTGGGCAAAGTGGATGCCATAACTTAAATTAACGTATACCTTATAAAATTCCGATGCATTAAGCAAGGAATAAGACCCAACAAATGGTGCTTATAATTAATCATTAATTAATTAGGAGCGCTTTATCTGCTAACTTTTCTGTGCGTTTTTAGACGCGACCATTGAAAATGTAGCCGATATTAATTTAGTTTTCGTGCGCTAACTGTGTAAAACCTCCTACACAGAATTCCCAGTTGAGGGAAAGTAAAAGCGTTATTTTTTCATTAAAAAACCAGTTCCAAAGAATACTACACTGAAATGGGAAAAATACGATTCCTGCCAATCCTCACAGAGTTGTATATAAGTAAATAGAGAGACAGTCTTGTAGCGAAAAATTGACTCCAATTGAACCTTGCGCAGGCCGTTGGTGAGTGTGCGCAGTAATCGACAACAGAACCGGCTTCAAATTAAATGATCCTTAAAGCAGGTTCGGCTTGAGAATAATATGGTTTCTCATTGCAACAAAAATTGAAAAGAAATTCAGTGTGTGGTGAATGATGTTGTTAACACTGTGTCTTGAATAAATAAGAAACATTACAATCGTTAAGAACTTTTAATACAGTAGACTACACTACAATACAAAGCTGGTAAGGGGCTTACAACATACAACATCAGAATCGAGAAAAGATTTTTTGAGATTCTGGTATAAAGGAAATCGTATATTTGTCGTGCGACCGAGTTTAAAGATCTATTTATGCACTCAGTGAGTATAAAAATAAGCAATGAAAGAATAAAATAAGTTGAAATTTTATTTTGGTGCGGGACAAAATTTCAGGTGTGCAATGCCGAAAACACAGTTTGAATACAGGTAGCCACAAAGACAAACTGCAAATGCCAATAACTCAAATATCTCAAAAATGGAGCATCGGCAGAGGGTATGTACAGTGGCACCACACTCAGAAGGTCCCTGACAGGGCGTGTCCGAGGACGTTGGAAATTTAGACTGTACATTCTCATGCAAAATTTGACTCTACTAAATATAAATAAGTGGGCACGCGATATGAGTTGCATTACTTCAAGGGGAAACAGTAAAATTAATAATTTTATTTCTACAAAACGTAAACACATTTAAAATTGTTAGATGTTCATGTTCAACACAATTTACAATTCTGATGCACTTCTGCTGTGTAAATAAATATGGACAGTTATTGAAACAATCACATTGAAATTAATATTATAATACTCGCGACTAAATTAACACACAACCTTTAACTTTTTTCATTCATTATCGTCACTTGACCACTAATCATCATCGGAACTGCCGGTGTTCACAATAAATTGTAGATTGTCAATAAATTCATTTCTCGTAGGAATGTTATTTGCTTCTAACTAAGAACGTATCACTTCCTTACGATTATTCATTGTTGGTGGCTTATTTATTTGAACACTGACGAGGTGCGTGAGTTTGCTGGTAAATTTGGTATAAGCTGCTTCTCTAACCACTGCATAAAGTTGGTATGATTCATATCATCGTAATAATCCCCCGATTTACTGTGCGACATCCTCTACAAAACCAGAACGACTACCAGCATCATACATAAGACAAAAATATGTATGACCAGCATACTACGATGTACCTCTGACCAGCCCTATTATAAACTTCCGATACTTCATCTGATTGTTAGCATTTACTCACTCCGTACGATGGGTGAATATAGGTTTCGTCCAAGTATATCACGGGTTTCTCGTCACATTCAGGTTGTTCATTTTCTTTTAATCTTCTTAAATAACGAGATGCCATACTACAATGTCACTTCTTTCCATTACCAACCTACGTTTGTCCCGACACTTCTTGTATCGAAAACCAAGTTTCAACAATTGCTTGCGAAGAGTTTTCCTTCCACCCATATATTTGATCTTTTCTTGCACTTTTCTAGGAGCATTTTAAAATATCCTTTATTTATGTACAGATCGTCACCTACTAAACATTGAAATGGCGGTAAAGAGTATAATGTAATGGGCATGCTTAAATTATTGCTCCAAAGCGTTTGTTTATTTACAAATGAATCTGAAGCATCTGAAAAGTTATTGCTGTTTTGTTTTGTGATTATGTAACTGAATGCACCGAAAAATCGTGCTAATTCCCTTTCACGCACTGCGCATGAGTCCCAACGGCTCCGCCATTAAAAGTCGGCCACTGTAGTTGGAGTTATTTTTCCACGCGCAGGTCGTATGTACTGCCTCTCTATTTACTTATATACAACTCTGTGCCAATCCTTCACTTTCTATACTATTGAGATTTGACAGCTCGAGTGCATCCTGTTAATCTAACTAAAATTAGTGGTAATTAACCGCCGCTCGATGGATATAATCGCAAATGAATGAGTTTCAAAATGATGGACGTAACTTTGAAAACTAATTAGCACGTAATTACCTTCAAAACGTGGTGACAAACACAGCCGGAATTTATCTATATTGCACGATAAACAAGGTAAAGGTAATTGGTAGAATCATAAGAAGTTAGCGCAACTACTTGCAATTCTTTAAAAAATGACACCCCAATTTGGTCTATACTTTAGTGTTTCGGAAAAGTAAATTTTCACTTACACCTCGGAATTTTCCGATTGGTTTCTAATGATGCTGCACTAATTAAAATAATTACCGCACGAGCATCTCAACAATAAACCAGGTGTAAACTGCAATGCATAAATTCTAGAAAATATCAGCCTTGGCCCAATGTAACATATACCATACACGATCTAACTCTACTTGAACCATATTATTTTTTATAAACAATATCGGTTACTCTTACTTACTTTATCTATAATGAATTATCTGGTAATCCTGATTCTCACAAATCGCCCGCACCTAAACTAATCCAGCCGCGCCAATTACAGATTCAAACTGAAGACACCGATCAACGAGCACGAAAAAGGAGTACGCGGCGAGAATAGGTAGGTAGGTGTTGTTTACTCTACCGGCACATTGATAGTGTTCGATTATATTTGATGGGTAGTACTGGCCACTGCTTTCTTTAACCTTTTACGATCAAGGCTGTATATACGAGGATAACGAGTAATTCGGCCGAAATGGACTCCAATAGACCGTCGATGGCAGTGCGTGATGAAAATGAAGTTGCACCTTCATGCAAAAAATCAATGGACATGAATTTATTTTTTCGATTCTCATACCTGCAGCTTGCAGGTTTTAAAAAATTGCACTATTTCCGGAATGTGTACAATTAAAATTGCACTACCTGTTTCATTGTTTTCAAGGAGTACGTGTTTCATTAAATTGCGTCGACCTTCTTCAATTTTTTGAAAAATACCATGTATATGGATTGTACATTAAAGGCAGTCTAGTTCTAAACGAAGATTGTTCGAATAGTTCGTTTGTCACTATTAAAGGGAAAACTGTTACGCAAGGGTCTTCAGTCAAAAAGTGGTGCCCAAATGCGTTATGACCCTTGAGGGAGCGTGATTTTGCAATTTATTCAACTTTGCACCAGAAAATAGTAAAACAGCTTCCCAACAAAAGCTGCGATTTTTTACAATTGTCTTGTCCCAAAAAAAAATGGACATACAATCCACTTTCGAGCGATATATTAGCAGTGCCTACTCAAAGTACAAAGTTTAATTGCACTCCCCTTGAATAATTGATTATTTTCCTGTACTATAACAAAACTATAAATGGAGTTCCGCTTTCATTGATTGATGTTGGGCACAGCCCATACATTAAAATCTCCTTACTCTGATCAATTGACTTATTGTAGGTTATCGCAAATCATTATTTTAGGGATTTGCTGGTATTTCCTACAGAAACGATCCTCTTTCCATCCTCAGGGTCTGCATCAGAACGCATGACCATCTAAAACCATTGAATTTAGGTTTTATATCATTTTTTATACTACGCGCGCGGAAGTGTAACTTTTTCTCTCGGAGAGGGATTAAAGGAAAATGAAGTACGAAAAGTGACAGTAAACCTTACATTCAAATGTATGTGCATTCGGGGTTTATAGTCCTTGCACCGTATTTCAAATATTTATTTAGATTTTGTACCTAGTAATTGCAGCAGCCTTTTGAATGGTAATTTTTGCTCAGTCGTTTTTTACGAGGGTATTAAAATCAAAGCAGCTTTAGATAAAGATCTTAAATAAAATGACCTCCAAAGCCAGTGATTGTGACTAGGGATGGGCGATAACTGTTTTCACCTATCGATAAGTATCGGGTACTTACCTATCGATATATTTTACTTATCGATATGCCGATAATTATCGAAATATCGATAGTTATCGATAGTTATCGATATATCGATAGTTATCGATATATCGAGTTATCGATATATCGATATTTCGATAGTTATCGATATTTCGATATTATCGATAGTTATCGATAGTTATCGATATATCGATAGTTATCGATAGTTATCGATAGTTATCGATATTTCGATAGTTATCGATATTTCGATAGTTATCGATATTTCGATATTTCGATAGTTATCGATATATCGATATTATCGATAGTTATCGATAGTTATCGATATTTCGATAGTTATCGATATATCGATAGTTATCGATATATGATTACTATCGATAGGTATCGATAGTTATCGATATGTCGATAGTTATCGCTAGGGATGGGCGATAACTGTTTTCACCTATCGATATAAGTATCGGGTACTTACCTATCGATATATTTTACTTATCGATATGCCGATAACTATCGAAAGATCGATAACTACCGCTATATCGATAAGTATCGGTATCGATAGTTCTCGTTATGGCGATAGTTTTTAATATATAGGTATCGATATAATATTACCGGTAATTTTTTTGAAAGCGTGTCTAAAAACTGCATGAGTTTACTTTTATATTTTGGCGAAAGAGCCCGACAAGACAAGAGTGCTCTTTTAACAAAATATGAAAATAACCGAATGCAGTTCTTGTAACTTTATTGGAGTTACCATTATTAACTGTGCAATTATCGCAGGGCTCTTTAGCTTTCTACAATGCAATTACCGCTGTAATTAAGCGGTAATTGCACGTCTCATTTGAGAGAAATATTCGACGTATCGATAGTTATCGACAGGGATAGTTATCTTATCGAGTTTTATTAATAAAATCCATTTTCCGGTTTATTCTCGTGTAAAGTGACTAAATAGTTACTCGTTACTCGACGTTTCTTTGCTACCTTTATCAAGAGTTTTTTATTAGATTTCGTAAATGTCAATCAATTGAAACTGTATATCTAAATTTGAAGTGTTCTTAGCTTTTCCTGTTTTTTTGTGACTGGTCCTCTGTAACCATCAGTCAGATACCGATACATAGGCCATAATTACACCCTTTGATTGTCTTCTTTATTTTATCTAAAAAGTAGCCATTTTGATGCAACATTTTGTTCAAGTTTTTGAAGTGCTTCTTTTTTTGAGCAATCGTCAGTAAGACGAAAAGATCTATTTTCTAAAGATTTTATTACTGCGTTTATTTGGCATGGATGATGATGTGACGTAGCGCTTCTCTTGAGGAAGGGAGCAAAGTTAAGTTTGCGAAACGTCGAGCGACTAAAAATAGTAAATTCACACGAGAGTAAACCCGAAAATGGATTTTATTAATAAAAATAGTAGCGCTCGTTGAAATCTCAACAATAACATAATTTAATCGTACAGTTATCGACATATCGATATATCAATAGTTATCGACATATCGATATATCGATAGTTATCGACATATCGATAGTTATCGACATATCGATATATCGATAGTTATCGACATAGCGATATATCGATAGTTATCGACATATCGATATATCCATAGTTATCGACATATCGATAGTTATCGACATATCGATAGTTATCGACATATCGATAGTTATCGACATATCGATATATCGATAGTTATCGACATATCGATATATCGATAGTTATCGACATATCGATAGTTATCGACATATCGATAGGTATCGATATATCGATACTTATCAATAAGTATCGATATATCGATAGTTATCGATATATCGATTTTTTTAGCTCTACCTATTGTTATTCGATATATCGATAACTATCGATACCTATCGATATATCGAAAAAAATTCCCATGCCTAATTGTGACGGAATAAATATGGGAGTTATTTGTGTTTTGCCTCATATAGTGCACATAGCAATTAGTGCATTGAATATTCAATATTTTCTACTGTGTGGGAAGAAGGATGGGTCGCATCTATTCCAAAAAAAAGCACACGTTGACAATTGATCCATCACTATACTACCAAGTTTATCTAAAGTGCTAGGGAAGGTGTCGGAAAGCCAATTAGCATAATTTTGGAATTCACGTAGCATATTGGCCGTTTTTCAGTCATGTTTTCGTGAGGCACTGCATTGAGTAACGTAGGTACTCGATGATATCATTGCGGAAAGTGATTGTGGAAACATCACAGTATTGGTAGTACTTGACTACTCAAAATCTGAGCCCTGGGGTGGGTAATTAAGGCCATATTGAGGTTTGTGGGACTGGACGATGGTGCTGTAGCGCTTATTCAAAGCTATCTCGTTGGTAGATGCCAGAGCGCATTCTGATTGTGCAGAGGTGTCTCTCAGGAATCCATCCATGGACCCCTGTTATTAACTCTCTACACCCTCAACTTGATATCTCGAGGGATATCTGGTTTAAAATATTTAACATCTCGATGCTGATGATTGACAGCTACATTATTCATTTTCCTTTAGCGAATTAAATTCCTCTGTGCCAAGTGTCAATGAAGATCTTGCAAGGAATCGGGCAATAATAAATGCAACTTAATCATGCTTTATCGTATTTTGTAACGACAAACACAAAATAATTAAATTGGTAAGGAGCTTGTCCTAATAACTGATTCTGTAAAAAATCTGGGCGTTTCTGCTGATACTAAATTATTAGAGTTTACTAAACACATAGACAACCTTATTGAATCGGCTTATCAGTTATTAAGATGCTTGTATTCTAGTCGTCACATTCTGGATATCAAGTAAAAGGCTGTTCTTTGTGGTCCGCTGGTTCTATCGTGGTACCGGGTCGATACTTAAATATATTCACATATAACCCACTGAAGGGGTAAAATAGTTATCAATTAAGGCGATAAAGAGTTGCGGAAGTTCCATATGAGGGTCGACCCTCGATGTTAATATCTCCTTTGTGGCCCAAGGCTAAAAACGAAAGCGACGGTGGGGATGATTTTTTGGGGGAAAACTGATAATTGTAGTGGGACGCGTATCAGCTACCATATGTTCCACCACATGTGATAAGTGTTCGTTTTATACTTGTGTGTGTTTTACTAAAAACCCTGTTCGAGCTCAAAATTTAAAAGTTGAACTAAATGATGCTATTGTTTAGTTTAGATATCGACTGTTTCTTCAAAAGCTGATAGTAATATAGGAGTTGACTAAGTCGTGAAGAAACACGTGTTCCAATCTTTGTGCCACTTCTTCAAACCTGTAGTAGATACAAAATTTATAAAATTACACATTGCAGATCCAGATACAGTCTTGTTTTCCATAAGTATACGTTACTTCCGGTTTATCTCTTCTGGTAGGGCCGCAATGGAAAAATTTGAGGTGGCTCCATATCTAAAATTGAACGCCATGGTCTGGGTTACATCTCTACAAATTTCATGTATGCTCCTAAAAGCTTAGAATAATCATATTTTATGCACTTGATTTTATTAAAACAAAATTGCGATCGAAATTCATTTTTATTTCGATTAGGGAAGTTCATGAATTAGAACAGTTGGACAGTTTTCTTGTAGTGATATTTTGTTTTCACGTTCAAGAAGCATACGCTAGGTTCTACCTCACTTTCGCTACTGTTTAGGTCTAATGTCTGCAAAGAAGCGGTTTGTTGTAATGTAATAATTCTGCACTTAGTTTGCTGTACCTACCTATATCATTAATTGTAACTTGTAACTATTTAATCATGCAAATCAAACTGTTGATTAAATCTAAAGTACTCGTACTATGTTTTGCTTTTTTTACTTTCGATAGTACGCAGTTAAGATTAGTTGTCCTTCGGACGGTTTAGTCGCAGAAAATGTTCCTTAAGTGTCAGTGGTAGGTATATACCTACTTTATTTTTCCGCATAATTATTAAATCGTTAGAAATGTTAACAGATTTCTACTAAACTTATGGAATATTTTTGGAATTCCTGTAGAATAAACCGCATAATTGCTACGGCCTTAATTGGACCTATTTCCTGTAATTTACCTCAAAATCATTGTATTTGTTTAAAGGACATCCGAAGATAATCTATGATTCGTAGGTTAGTGTCATTATTATTTTAAAAAAATGACATTTGAAGAATAAACAGTACAGATCAAGTTGCTGATATTTTAACAAAAGGAAAACAAGCAATTTTGAACACCCCAACGAAGTAATAGCTTGTTGAAAGTTGGTTCTTATTCGGTCGCCAAAATTGAAAGCTTCAACTTGAAATAGCCAAAAAATAAAGCATTTTTCGGGAAACACTTTACAAAAACGGGTTACGGCGGATCAAATGTCGGTTCCTATTTCTTCGGTGACAAAAAATGTTAAAATTACCGCCTAAATCTCACCCAAGGAAAATAATCGTTACAACTTTGAATTTCACTTTATTTATGTGCCTACTTTTTAATGCGCAACAACTTTATCCTGTCCTGAACGAATTTGAGCTTGTAATTTTACAAAAATCTATTTTCTTCATAATAAGAAAAAAACTTATAATACGCGAAATGGCCCTTGAACCAGCGATAGATACTACTAGAGGATATTACAAATCCATCAATAAAAGTGGTACCGATTATTTCCAATTGGGATGGTAATTAGGGGGCGATTTTCACATTACACCGAGAGGAAGTGGCATTCACTTCCAGGGTAAAATCAACGCCCGGTACAGTCAACTTTGAATATACAGAACTTGCATAACGAACTTTATTTAGTTTTGGGCATGTGCAATGACTTTATAATTGGGTGACTAATTTGAATTTCTAATATTGTATATTAGTACCAATTCAATCGTGAAATTAAACGGATAGACACCTAAAATTTCTTTCAAACCGCTTCATTTGTGAAATGTTAATTTGTGATTGCTAGTTTGTACTGTTGACTGGTAATTAACCATTTAACACCTTTTTAATTGCCGCTTTATAGGATCATCATTATACCTTCATTAAATTGTTATAAACCATTAAACGCAAGGATAGGTCCACTGTTTTGGAACAACGGTTACGTTAAGAAACAATTAGGAAATTTTGTTTTAGTTCCACCTTTTCGTAATCGAGATTCATTAATTGCAGATCAACGTAGAATTGATTTATCTACTAGCATGGTGAGGATTGAAGACTGAAATGGAAATATGTCGTTTCCATAATTACTTTATGACACTTCACTTTCGTTTTTAGTGCCCAATAAAGCTAAGATCATACTAAAATGATGTTATAAGAGTTGGCATTATTTTTCTATTCCAATGTGAATTTCGATTTTATTATTTCCGTATAGGTAATATGGCATTTGTTGTATTTTTGGTGTAATTCTGTATTACGCGAATAAAACAATCTAGACAGACAGAAACGTATTTAAATTAATGTGAGGATCATTAACAGAACAGAATTACTTAAGCGTAGCTTAATGCTGGGAACTGAAAAACTTATTCAATAATGGTACAGATAGTGTAAGGATGGTGATGATAAGAATAATTTCTCGTTAAAAAACACTACATTGAGTTACTAAGAGTAAAGGGTATCCTACGACGAATGCTGTCTATCCATATCTCGAAAAGGAGATCTCGGAATATTTTGAAAATTTGACAGTGATAAGAGGAATCAGGCTAACCTATTTTCAAATGGGTGGCACAACTTGCTTATTTTAAACAGAACACCCTATACATGCTGATTCAAAGTCGAGAGCCACCATGGGGATTTCGGAAACTGTAAGAGATAAAGTAACGTGGCGTATATTGATATTACAAAATAAATGACACATTATTATGACCATTTTTTTCCCTCTACAAGATGCTAGTTTTAAATTTTAAGTCTGACGTTTTATCTCCGGTTAACGATCATTAACTTTGTTTTTTTTTATGGAAGTCATTTTTACTTTTTGTGTTATTTGAGTGCATTTTTTTCTAATTTCAAACATGTAAATGGCACTATTTTCTAATAAAAATGGCGGTATTAATTCGTAAAAACTACGAAGGTACACAACCCAAGACAATGTTTGCCAGACAAAAAAGAAGATATGATGTTTATATTTTTGAATTAAAAAAATACTCTATATTCAAATGACATGATATTTTTTTGGAATTTTTTTTGGCCTGGGTTCCGGCCAAAAAGGACCATACACAAAAAGTGCAATGCAATGGCCCACGTTGGTTGATTTTATAAACCTCGGAGAGTGCAATTTAATTCACCTTTCCTGCACTCACAAGATGTCCTGCATCCTGTTTTTGCGTTTTTGCATGTGCAAAATGGTATAATCAAGTCTTTCAAGCACGCGCAACGAGTTTAATGGCACGACGCGCAGCGGAGGGCCTTTAAATCTTACGGTACTTTTAATTTGCAGTTCAGCAATTTCCTTTTTTAGGCTTCATCAAGCTTCTCCCGGTAGCGAACAGAAGATATTATCGCTGGCGGATTGTGGAATTTGTCTTTGGCCATCTAGCTGGCGTCACATTTTTGAGTACACAAGATTAATATTAATCGAACAAATTTTACAAATCAGGGTATAGTTAAAATAAGTTTAAATTTTTGGCTATTAAAAAAGATTGTAAACAATTTCGTCGACCTTGGGTTATTTACACACATTTCATACCTACAATTGTATATGTATTCCAAGGACCAAGTTTTACGTACGAGGTGCCGAGTACGGACATTCCGACGTGTCACTGGTGAACACTAAGTTTTTTAATTAGTATGCTACAATAAAGTTTGTGGTTGTAGTATATAAACGGGCCAAAAATCAAAAGAAGCAGAGAAACGGAAAAGAGGAAGTGAAGTGAAATTTTGTATACTTCTCTGCTCCTAGCAGTGAAACAACACTTCGCGGTTTGAAAATGATCAGCGAAATGGAACATTTGATGTACGTATAAAAAATATTGTAGCGTACGTACGTTATCAGGTCCGTAGGAGTTAATACTGCACTTCACAATTTCTTAGTTTTAATGAATAAACCCGTCTCGTTATGATTTTAGCACAAACACAAAGTTTTGGTCCTAGAATTATATTTAAAACAAACAGTTTATAAATTAAAGATAAACTCTATTCACACAGAATTTATAATAAAAATACCGAAATAATGTAAACACGTCCAATTCCAATATGTCTTATACGGAAAGACCACTTTATACAAACTACTCAATAAGACGCTGTTATAAAAATATGTGGTTTCCATTAAAAAAACAAACTTAGTTCATGAACCCCCTGCATTTATTTATAATCAAATTAAATGATTAAAGGAAACTTGTCCCAATTAAATAAATATTATATTAATTGAATAATAATAGCTCTCATATAGAAAAAAATGTTCAATTATGATTAAAAATAAAAATAAAATATACAGGTTGTTTTGTTTAAAATAAGCAAGTTTGCATCAATTTCCGGTAAAACCGAACGTGTCGCACAAAAAATAGTTTAGATGAATTCCTCTTAATATATGCTATTAGGTAAAAAAATTTTACATTTTCAAAATAGTTGGAAGTCTCGTATTCGAGATATGGATAGGGCGCATTCGTCGTGGGACACCCTGTATGTTAAACGTTATTTATTGTGCTATTTTGTATCACTCCTATTGTTATGAAACTTTTTGCAATTGAAAACCAACACCTTGAGTGTGTGCCAGGTAGTCTCCTAATTTTTACCCGGGTGTCCCCCCCCCCCCCCCTATAAGTTATTCCCTCTGATGCCAAGTAAAACGTCAATAACTTTCAATGGGTTCTAAGTAAAGTGCAATCATATTTTTGTATGCGGGGATGAAAGGACTTGTTTTCTATCAACGATCAGCGATGCCATTCCAGTTACGAGTATCTAGTTCAATGCATGAAATTTGGAATTTCCGAGTTCGGGCGAAAGGTCTCTTATCAAACTGATACCGCCATATGGTCTTGCATTTTTAAATTACCATATAGGAAACTAAAACTGGTTAATAATGACTTAACAGAGCTGAAATTCTAAAATATTAATTTGCCGTCATCTTGTAAATGACACGAGCTTTCGAACGCAACAAAGATTGTTGAAATAACTTGATGGGAACAGTTGCAAACGGCGAATTAATTACAGCTTTTGTTTACAGTAACGGTGGCGGAAATACAACTTTAAAAATTGAATCAATTACCTATACCTACCTACTATCTTCAACTCCTAGAACCAACACAAATATTTTCGACATGACACTTTTCGTAACGAAGCGCCTCTAGATACTGGGCGTTTACGTACCGGGTGGTCATCACAGTAGGTAAACTTCAAGCCGGAAAATTTGTAAACACCCCCTTGAAATTGTAATTGAAATTATTTTAGTAAAATATCAATTGTAAATTATGTAACTTTTTCCAGTCAAACAGTTTTTGAAACAGATTTCAAGTCATTGTTCTGGTTTATAATCCAACAGAATTTTGGATAAGGAAACCATCCCTTCAAAAGAAGTTTCATGTTGATTTTGCCACAGATAATTAGTGAACTTTGAACATTCTGATTTAGTAAACTTCCCTTCCTTTCATTAGAATAAATCCCTTCCGTAATTTTACTTAGGTACATATAAATGGCTCAACTAAAAACCAGAATGCGCTAGAAGTGCAATCGAGGTTGGTTATACAATGTCCGTCCTAATTTCGGAACGCATTATAATAAATTACAACTAACGTCGCGATGGACTAACAACCATGCCTTTTGTATTGCAACATCCTTAACAGACGGGGTGGTACCAATTACAACCAAAAAAGACGAAGCATTTTTATTTCTGTTGGTGAATTTTTTGGAACCGTTTTACATTTCTATAGCCGGATAGCATTTTACAAAATTAAAAGATGGGATACATCCTTTTTCCGAGATGTCCTTTTTACAGTAGAACAGAGAAATCTATTTATCTTGTTCGACAAAACAAGCTCTCTTCTTTGAGACAACGAAAGTGATTCGTAATTTAAGAAGAAAGTTCATTGCTTCTGCTTCAGATGCAGCACAAGTACCATTTCTTTGACCTTAAAGTGTGTATAACAGTTATCTCCATGTAGGTTACCGTGTGAACGGCACTTGATTTAAGATTTTTAATTCTAGGTCACTATTGTAGCATCCTGCGAACAGTATCTTTCAAGCTGCCATTATTCCGCGACCGTTTGTGGTATACTTTTTCACCGCAAATGTTTAATAAATTAATTATTGTTGCGATGATTTGCTCAGATGGGCCTGTAAATGCAATTACACAGATAATTATAGCGGTGTTAACGTAATTACATACCTATCAATCAACAAAATCATCATTTTACATGCCTGCTTTATTCAAGTTTCATTGTAATAGGTAGCTAACCTTTACTGGCACGATTCTAATTAGTGTCATGTTTTTTGGTATAGGAAGTTCTTTTTATCTCTTTTAAGGCCCATCTTAACCCCATTTTCTGGCTAATCTTTCTTATACGCAACAGTAGTTCCTTCCGAGGTTCCTTCTTCAATATACCTAACCAATTTATTGCACCTTTTCAGATGTTTCTATTTATGCATTCATATTAAGGAAATTTATATATTTCTATGGTATTTGGATGGTGTGAAATTAAAAATTCATCATGTAAGTGTGATTTTGACGAATATGAATATACCTTTTTGGCGTAGTAATAGCACTGTGAAAAAATTTAGATACATCAATTTCAATAGTATTTGATCATCGAATAATCCGAATTTTCTGTTAGTGACCAATTTTGTCGTGAAAATGGTAAAACCAACTGCTTTGATGCACATTTTGTGCCTCTTCTGTCACAATAACCGCAACCCTGAACCAACCACAATAGAAAAAATTGCCGTGCGGTTTTGTCTCTGACATTTATTAAGCGATTTCAGCAAATCAATCATATATGACTATTAAATTGTAGAATAATTGATTGGGACAGCTTGGGGGGCTAATTTATATCTCTCTCAGTTAAATACAGGTACCTATGTTAGTATGTACAGGTACACAAATAGAGATCTGAGAAAGTGTGTCTACTGCACTAATCGCGTATATTTTCTCGGTAATCTTGTGTAAATATTACCATCTTCTTTTCCAATACAAAGATGAAATTTAAACAAGTCCAATGGAAATTTGTTTAAATATATTGTGCTACGTGTGTTTTATAGATATACGTTTTGTTTATATATACCCAATTCACCATACATGATTGTATTAGCTAACACCTAATTTTCATCAAGGTTTATTACACCTCGTACTGTAATTATTAGACAAGCATTTACGCCATATCTATTAATTGGCGTGACTTATTGTTTATCCATTTGTACAAATGTGCACACTCCTGCATTTAATTTGTATGCAACTTGGGGTGCAGTTAT